CCAAGGACTTTGAATTACTAACTATGAAACACATAGGAAATTCACTTATCTTCATAAGTGTCGAATCCTTTGTTGGCCACTGACAAACTTCCATATATATTAATATAATACTGAAAATATCCATTTATACGATTGTGCTAGCAATCAAAAGGATAAATCAAAGTAAAATATAATATGCACAAAGTTACCATTGTGCCTCATGTCTAAGGATTAATCATGTACTATTGTAACATGAAAATTCTTATTCGACATGATAAACTTTCATTAAGAATTTTCATACGGTCATGTTCAGTGAACTTGTTCTCTAACAAGCACCCACATATATGTATTTGCGTCTCACGCTAATTTTGATGGAATGCGACATTCTTATCTAATAAGCATACATACTATGTGCAAGTCTTTTTCGAATTTATTCGATATCCCATCTCGAAACATCCAACGACTTGAAACTGTATTTAAGATCACAGCTTTCAAGATATGTTCCATGATCACCATCTCTATGCGCAACCATATCTTATAGCTATAAGTGATCTAGGGACTTTATCTTAAGTGCAAATATATGATAAATGCTTACTCTGAAAATAAAGTAATGTCTTATTATTTAATATAATTCTAATAGATTGTATTTACAAGTAGAATACGTCCAATCAGATTGGAACGCCAGGTATACTACTCTAACAGCATGTCCCTGATTTGTGTCATAATTTGATATCATGTGCTGCTTTAGAAGATAATGGTTTAGAGGGTAAATGGGGAAATGGTGTTATGAAAATTTTGAAGGGTTCTTTGGTGATCTTCAAAGCTGTTAAAAAGTTGAACTTGTATGTTTGCATTGTTGAATCTTGTATGCAAAACCCTGAGAATAATGTCTGTGGTGACAATACTGATTTGTGGCATAAGTGTTTTGGTCACATGAATTCTAGGGATCTTGAGATTTTGCATAAAAATGGCTCTTTTGGTTGTGACAAATTGTCTTGTGTGCCATTTTGTGATTCTTGTGTGCTTAGCAAACAATCACGAGTGAGTTTCCCTGTTCCTGAACCTGTCGTTGCTCCGAGCAAGTTGGAGCTTATACTTGGTTCATGTCTTTTGTCTAATGATGTGCAAAACGTGCCTATTATGCTTGATGAGAACTCTATTTCTGACAATATATCTATAAATGTGTTTGATAATCATGTTGATGATGTTGTTATGCATGTAGAAATTGTTGAAAATTTGTCTAAACCTGATCTTTGTGATTTGCATGACTATCATTCGGCTAGAGATAGATCTAGAAGAGATAGGGCTCTATATGTTTCTATACATGACAATTCTTTGCAATTGATGAATATTGTGGGAAATAAAATGAAGTCCTTGCTTGTGAATAATATGTGGTTTTATGTTTCTAAACTAAGAAAGTGGTTCATAGTGGATTCTAAATGGATGTCATGTTGCTTGAAAATTTTGATTTTTGATACGTGTGATTGATACGTGTTATGTGACTTTGTGTGAAGTAGCCGACTTTATGTCTGTTACATGTTTGCTATAACTTTGTGTTTGAGTGCAGGTACGGTAAGGTAAAGGCGATGATGACTTCTGTCAACCCGAGTCTTGTGAACCGACTTTGGGCCAATGTGAAGATTGTTGGTATTTGTGGCCCAAAAGGATATGTTTATTGATGGCCCAAATATTTATCAATTCTCATGCCCAATATTCTTTGGCCTGAGCCCAGTTTTTGGCAGCCCACTTGATCAATTTAGAGTTCTCCTAACCTAAGAGTCTATCAGCAGTCATCTTGTTAGCATCCTTCAGAATAGTCAGGAGATTCAAATTAATTAGTTGTTGAGTACAACCATGAGGAAAAAAATAAGCAAAGCCCTAGTGCTTATATATCTTGGCAGCCATTAGAAAAAAGTAAGTCCTGAGAGTTCCAAAAAATTCACGTAGCTTTCAAAATAGTGCAACCTTTCTCTCTGTTGGTTTCAAGCACTGGCTATTTTACTCTTTTTCTTTACTTTTGTGTCAAATTGAACATACTATTTTCTATCCTAAGAAATATTCGTGATAAGGGGGTTGTGATTTGGGTGAGAGTAGTGTTGTTAAGCCAGGTCCTTTAGCGAGAGAGATTTGGGGTTTGTGGTCTGCGGGCTGTTTCTCGGGCCGAGAATTGTGCACGATAGGTGGTGTTACCCTGGGTTTACAGTGCCGAAATTATTGTGGCCAATGGGTCCAATTGATCGGTTCTTGTCAGCTATTCAGTGACTCATTTTGTGGGTTCGACAAGAAGGGGACTGGGCCTGCTCTATATTGAACCATCTTTGTAGCAATCGGGCCTCATTTCAANNNAAAAAAAAAAAAAAAAAAAAAAAAAGGTGTATTCGTTCCACTTTATGCTTTGTTTATTTTCAGCTTTGTCAATTCATTTATATTGTTTGATTGCTGAAATTAGTATATTTATTGATAATTTTCGTTTGTCTTGAAGCGAACAAACCGGAACTTGGTCGGGCTCAAAAGGTTGTTGTTCGGGGCTTGAAAGTTGCTGTCCGGGACCTGCTGATTGCTGTCCGGGCTCTGCAGGGACTGTCCGGGACCTGCTGATTGCTGTCCGAGCTATGCAGAGACTGTCCGGGACTTATTGGTTGTTGTCAGGGCCTACCGGGTGCTACCGGGACAAACCAGAGGCTGTTCGGGACCATTCGGGGCCAGCCCGGGCCCGGCGAGTCGAGCCAGACGACCACCAACAATAAATATATGTTTTACTTGAAGAAATCAATAGAGAGAAATTGTACAAGTTGTAAGTTTTAGTTTCCATTTTACATGATCTTATGATCACAGTACGTACTAGCAACTTATAAGAGCCCAACAACACGGGTAGAGGGGCACAAATCAGTGTTCTAGCTTCCTTGTGGATAAAGACGGGCTAAGGATAGCTAAAAGTTTTAACTGCTGACTGAAACATCTTGATAATACAAACTACAGATACAAATGAATGACAGGATCACAACAAAAGAAAATAGGAACTGTCTGTGTGTGTGTGGTGGGGGCTGGGGGGGGGCTCAAACAAAGTAAAGTAACCCATGTCCATCTTATCTACCGTCTATCGTCTAAAGTTACATCTTTGACATATCTAATACATGGCTTGCTAAGCATACGGCACTATTCGCACAAACTCAAACAGACCTAAGCTGCATTTCCCAATGGAAAAACCCCTTCACATCGAGTATTACTCGATAATCAACCAAAACCAAGAAACAATACTTTCTTTTACTTTCTGGCCAAATTTATCGCTCGTTGTATCAACAAGTAGCCAGGATTGTGTTCCAGTATAAACCAAAAAAAAAAAAAAA